GGGGGGGGGGAAGGGGGGGTCGTATTGTGCCACCAGTTGACCTCTGCACGTCGTCGTTGAGCGCGGCATAACAACATTGAAAGCTTACGAGATCCTGCCAGCACCACGAGGCGGTCTCATGCTTGCATCAACAGGGTGATGGGACAGGCGTGAGGTGTACTGTAGGTAGGGCAGCATGGACGCACTTCTTACCCCTTCCAGTGTGCCGTGATCTAGAAGTGTAGTCCTTGCAGCCAAGGCGACAAATGCGTGTTCCGGGCTTTCTCAACAAAGAGCGATGCCATCACTGCAGCTTTTGGGAAGCACAAAGGACTTATTGTACAGAATTGACTCGGCAGTGTGTCCTCAGTGACGGTTTCATTTTCATCTGTGCAACAAGGGCACAATCGCCTCAAACGGCCTGCGTTTTCACGCATCACCCTTACCCAGCACCGCCTGAAAATCCGCATAACGAGCCCATGCCCTCTCGCCCGGTTGTACGTAGTACCGGTTTAGCCATACGGACAAAGTTACACGGCCGCCCGCCTGTTGCGTAGAGCACCAAGTCCTCCCATGTACCGAGTCGTGGACCATCCGAACACATGGCTCTTCGACTTCAACAGGGTCCGTGTTGCGATCCGTGGACTCAACCCACGGGCCGCAAAAGCAGCCTCAAGAAAATCCGGGACAAGGTGGGCGAGAAAGATGGAAGATGGCAAGGTGCAAGATGACTGGCAGGCATATCTGCTATCAACCGTCCTTCGCATCGCACGAAAACATAAGGCAATCTCCTGTCTTACGCCCGCCATGCATGAAAAGAGCCTCTCCTCAGCACATGCTGATTGCAGGGCTGAAGAATCTTATGAAAGACTCGCTGTAACCCTCTGATGTACAACATTTGAGCTCTACGGAGTACAGTAAACCCCTTTCGTCTGTAGAAGGGGGGGAGAAGACGTGCATTCACCCCACGTTGGTTGGTTCGTTGGGAACCACATCCGCTGTTCCCGCTGCATCACGGACGCAAGTTGACGTTAGTATGGATGTATGTCATGCAAGCAGTTGCGCATTAAGCGCCCATTGCAAACTCTTCGTTTGGTTCGCCTTGGGGGCCGGCGGCCTGCAGCAACTTCTAGACCAATCTTCTCCGCAGCTGCCCACGCGAAAAAAGGGTTGGCACCTGGAGAAGAGACAAGGACTGTGCGTATGGTGGTTGGCAGAAAGAACCCGCTCCCACCCACCGGACGGTTATCATACCCGAAAGCGTGAAGGTTGTCTGACGGAAAACGAGGAAAAAAAGTCACACTGAGGGTCAGCAGACACGGCCATCTCAAAAGTTGAGGGGTATGATTTCACAGCCTTGTTTTTTCGTCAGGGGCCAGGGGTGTGAATTTGGATCCGGAAGACGGATCGTGGAGATGTCATACGCAATGACGGTGTTTATTGTTTCGAATATCGGCTATACGGCGCGGAGTACGGAGTACATGGGAACTGTTTTACCAGTTAGCCAGTATCACGGGTACACGGTTTTTTGGAGGTGCTCATCCCCCGCGCCTCGCTTGGCGTTGTTGACCTTGACGAGGGGAACCTTGCAGGGAACCCGAGTGTTTCTAGCCTCCGCATTTGCTGGGCGATACTCCGTACATCCAGGGTCCGGATGATGGAAAGACGTCTTGGGGCGTGACGACGAGACCACCCAAGGAATGAGGGGAGCAAAGACCAGGGGGAGTGTGCATGACCAAGACCGTCTGCTACAAAGCTGGTGGCTGCGGTTCGTGTGCCTCAACTTGCTGCGACTGGTGCAAAGCAACAGTGGTTCGTCGGCTATTATCGAAGACGGAAGTCGGAGCCAGACAAGAGAGAGGAAGGGAGGGGAGAAGAGGCTGGGGGGCTGGGCAAGATTTGAAGCGTCACTCAACAGGTGACGTGAAGGATCCCACCCGTAGAGCAACGACCACAGCCATTGAGCGAGGAGTGGTGATGGTAATTGGATATTGGATTTCACATTGTGTGTGAAATGGCTCGGGTCATCACATCTCCCCGAGTCGATTATTAGCCGCCTACGACTGTACAACACCACCAACTCCAGGCTTGTCAATCACCAGCCCCACGACTTTCTCAGCCTCGAGTCACGCATCGCCTTTCCAACATCCAACCACGTTCCGCGACGCGCTCGCATGCAACGGTCCAATATCGCAGCACACCATCGTAGTCCCGAGACAAGAATACGTCCAGAAAGAAATCGCTAACCGTCTACGTGCTGGCGCACAACAAAGCCATGCTGAAAATGCTCTCTCGCCGCCATCTCCGCATCCTGGCCCAGCTGAGAGACAGAGAGAGCCTCCAGCCAAGCCACCCGAGACATGCCTGCAGCCACGCGCCTGTGTGACGAATTGCAAGATGCTATTCTCAGGGAGGGGGGGCGGTTCGTCGAATTCCTCCAAGGACAATGCCTGTCAGGATGGGAAGGCGTCACCTCTGCTGCAGGTTCACAACAGCACAGACAGACTCGATTCGCGTTTCTCCTTTTTCAATGTTTCGCCACTCGCTGACCAACCCTTAAAAAAAATAAAAAATAAAACCAGAAAAAGAAACACCCCCCAAAAAAGGGGGAGGGTATATCGACCAAAAAAAAAAAACCCACCCCAAAAAGGGGGGGGGGAATAACGACAAAAAAAAAAAAAAACCCACCCCAAAAAGGGGGGGGGGAATAACGACAAAAAAAAAAAAAAACGCGCCCAACAGCCAGCTGCTGCCTGCACACCCTTGCAATCTACCACGACCAGATTCCAGACGACATCAGCCTCAAGCTCCTTCGAGGGGCATCACCTTGTAGAACAAGACCGAGCTCGCAGCCGTGCAGGAAACTTGCATCCAGACCCGAAAGTGTGATCTCGCTCCAACGTGACCTCCCGGCCGGCCCATCTCCGTCTGCGAAGCAATGCCGTTCATCGCACGGAGTACTGCGAGCAATGCCAGCTCCCCCTCTTTGCAATCTGCTTACCAAAAACCCAATAATCAAGCGCATTCGTTACCCCGTGTCCACGGCGGCGGGCAGAATAGCAACCGTGAATCACCGTCAGACGGATTGATGGTCAAGTTCACACGCAACCACTTCCAACCCAGGGGTTGCAGTTGCAGCATGCAACTCTGACAGCCGCAGTCATAAGGGACACCCTACTGAGGTTTTCCTTGTTGTTTTTGCCCCCGGCTCCCCGTCCAAATATCGTAGATGGTCTAGGCTGACAATATCCCCTCATTTCGGACATGCACGCTCGGTCGCTTCTTGTGCCACGCCGCAATTTTACCCATCGACACCCCCCGGTTCGAGGACATCGACTCGATGCATCATTGACCCAAGGAGCACAACTCAGAATTGGGGGCCGGAGGGTTGCACTGGGCGGGCCTGCAAGGGGCGGCCCGGCGGAAGGTCTAGCAGTGGTCAATTTTTTTGGTCAATGACCAATCTGTGGATACAACAGCCATGCTGTGTGGTTGCGCCGTATCGGACACGGGAGATGAAAATGCATCCGTCATCACATTGATTCCATCACTGCGTGAGGAGGCGCTACAAGGCCAACAGTGGCTTCCAACAAGATGTTATTCACGCCTGGGCATCACATCATGGCAAAGAACTTGGTAGCATCGTTGAACAAGCTTTTGTCTAGTCTAAAATTCCCATTCTCCTGCACTACATTTGCTATCCGTAAACTAAAAGATCTTTCAAGGTATATGACACACTTGTCCCTCTGCTCATCTG